TGAATTGGCTACTCGCAGCTCGAAAAAAGCTTTTTATAACCTTCATTAGGCGCCAGGCAGGTATCAAACCAGAGGGTGAGAAGCAGGAATAACAATAGAAGGGCTGCAGCCAGCAGGGTGCCATGGAGGAGGGTAGTATAGCTGAGGGACACCACGTGACTTTATTTATCAGACAATGTGTAACTATCTAACTATGCCAAATATCAGCCCGATTAATCAGCCTATCACTCAGCACAACGTGCACGATGAAACAACTGACAAAGAAATAAAGAAATGAGATTTTACATTGGCATAGTTTGAGTGAGAGGGTCATAATATCAGAAAGTTCCAGGTTTGAAAAAAGAGGAATAAAAGCGAACTGGTTTTTTTAAGCGTGCTTGAGTCCATCTTCCTCTCAGCTATCTTTTACACTTATCCACATAATAACATAAGAGATGTAATCCCTGGATGTGCATTACTGGACTGGACTGCTGGTCAGTCTGTCCTGTGCCTCTGTCTTTTGTCTTTTCATAATTTGAAATATGGCATAATTACATTAAAGAAAGCCTAACATAAAGGTTTGAAATATGTTTTGTAGTGATAACAGTTTGAGTCTCTAATTTTGTCAATATATTTTTTCTTTTGTCTTACAGCCATTTTTTACCATGATAACAGAATCACTTTAGTATCTAAACTTAAAACAGCAAAGTGACGGTGCCGGAGTCCTGCCTTTTTAATTATGTATTTCTTCTCTCTTCTCATCCTCATGAGTGGAGTAAGATGACTGGGACAGACCATGATTATCTTAAAATAATAAAAAGCTGGCTCATTTAAGAAGTTATCAAAACCATATGATATGTCACAACAGTGCTGTAACCACATCTTTAGCTAAGAATAACAGGCTTAAAAATCTACATATGGGCACCATTTGTTATCTCAACATAATGTGATATTTAGGCCAGAATCTTGAGCTTGCATATCTTACCACACATGGAGGAAAAGCTGGTCAGGCCAAATATCATTATACAGTCAAAAATGTTTTTATCTTGGAGAACCCTGAGCCATCATAACCTTAAAAACAAGGCTGTGCTCAGAGGACCATACAACAGCTGCCTGCACAGAAGAGGAATGATACTGAGATAATATAGCTTTAATGGATTTGCAAACTACACTCAGGACTGATGATGATGATGGATGTTTGTGCATAACTATATATGGTCAACACAAAGATGCATAATGCACAGCTGGTGAGAAACAGCGGGATATATCACTTTGAATTTCTGAGAACAATTCCAATGGATCTAAAGTATAAAACTAATGGGGCTGGTTACTGAACATCAGCACTGTTTTGGTGCAGTCATAAATGTAGAACTGTAAAATACTGAAATCTAGTATCAGCTGCCTGGTTAGACTTAATATTGTTCACTTGCTAGTTCAAAATCTAAAGCTGATCAATATCTTTATATTAACAATGGATCAAATTAACATGTGTAATGTGAAGTGTAATTCCATTCAGATCTATAACCAGTTCAGCTTTTTGAACTCCATGTTTTCCTTTTCCACCTGCAACATTACTGATTTGGTTCGGTCTCACTGCTTTCATCAAACTCGTTTCAAGCAGCAGCTGCTTCTTCAGTGAATGAGCTCTGGTAATGCCACTGTCCACTACATGCTCAGCACCAGACCCAGACAGACTTTAGCAGCTAAAGACCCAGATGTACAGTGGGTACGGAAAGTATTCAGACCCCCTTAAATTTTTCACTCTTTGTTATATTGCAGCCATATGCTAAAATCATTTAAGTTCATTTTTTTCCTCATTAATGTACACACAGCACCCCATATTGACAGAAAAACACAGAATTTTTGACATTTTTGCAGATTTATTAAAAAAGAAAAACTGAAATATCACATGGTCATAAGTATTCAGCCCCTTTGCTCAGTATTTAGTAGAAGCACAAGTTGGTCAAAAACAGAGCTGAATGGAGAGTGAAGGACACAAACACAAATCCAAAACAATGCTCATGTTGCTTTGTCTGCCTCATGTGTAACTAAGCAAATGTTTGCTAAAAGGTGTCATAAGAATTTTATAGAGTGATGATAACATGTCTGCGTTGTGTTCCCAGCTTGTTCTATTGCCCCCAAGTGGCCCAAAAATCAATTAATGCAGCTTTAAATTATTAAAAATCACAAGGTGTCCTTGTATTTCATTCAGGAAAAGTTACTATACCCTTATGTTTACATATGATTACAACTGAAACAAATAATTGATTAACTGATTACCGGATTTACAGCATATTGACAACAACTATTTTGTTAATTGCTTAAACTTTTAAGTCTCTTTTGTGAAAAAAGCCAAACATTTATTTTTACCTGCATTATATTTCTGAGAATAGACTGAAAGTAAGTTAAATGTTTTTGATGTTTCAGAAAATTGCGATGGGCACTTTTCACCATTTTCTGACATTTTATAGGCCAAACGATCAATCAAGTAAAGAATGTGCAAATTAACTGGCAACAGAAATAACTGATAACTGTTAGTTGAAGCTTTAGATAACATGCCACATCTTAAAGTTGTTGCTTCTTTTGTTAAATGAAAAACACATTTTTATTCCTCAAGATAGGGAAACAAAAAAGAACTGTCTTGGCTTTGGTACCAAAACAAGCAGTGTTGAGAGATGAAGCACTGATGGGAGATGGACGAGGTGACAGTTGGTGACTGTGGTTCTGCTGAAAGCTGCACATTATCCCCCAGTTTAAATGGCAGACAATCCCCACCTTTCTGTATTGTTGTTTTTTGGATGATATTTTTAAAAGGTGCAGTAGGAACAATGAAACAGCCAATTATCACTTTTCTATGTAGAGCGTTTTTTGGCCACTTTTGATCTGTGGCCAATTAACTGATGCATTCCTGGCTGACACCACGCTGCGGAAGAAAATGCTGATACAAAATAACAGAGGCACAGAAAAATGAAACAATAGAGTAAAACATTAAAGGAGGAGGAGGACAGACCGTCTGAGGAGCTGAGAGGGAACGTGGCACAGTCCTCTTCTCTTGGCCCCGCTGTCAGTTAGCAGCAGTGGCAAACAAAAGAAGGAGCACAAATGAAGTGATTTCTAGCCGGTGTCCGTGCTAATATATGACCACTAGTAACAAACTGACCTGGAAAATGAAATATACTGCTGTTCAAATACTGTTGAACTGATCTGTATATTCAGTGTTTATTGTTCAAATGTGAAATTATCCTGCCTCAATACCTGCTTTAAATCCTCAAAAACAGTAATAAAATCATTTGTAGAAGAGATGCCCCAATCGATCAATGGAAATGCTGATCATGCTGGTTTTCAGCATGATCGGCATTTGACCGGCGACTGGCTGATCAATCTGAGCTTTCCGATTCTGTGCCGATCAGATTTAGTCCATTTAGTCCATGTCACACCCCTAATTACAATGTCAATTTCTTTTACAATTAATCGTTTAGACTATAAAATAGCAGAAAACAGTGGAACTTGCAGTGACACTTTATGATTGTATGCCTCCACCAATCAGTCAAATTCAAAGGAATGGGACAGACATGAGGATACAGTAACCTTGACCTTTGACCACCAAAATCTAATCAGTTCATCCCTGATTTCAAGTGCACACCTGTCTCAAATTTGATAAAGTTCCCTCAAGGCTTCTCTGAAATGTCACGTTCACAAGACTGGGCTGAACAGACGTACAACCCAAAAACATAATGAGTTTCCAGTGAGGTGAGGCAGAAGGACTACACTGTCAAACAAGTCAATAGAAACTGTTTTCATTATAGCTACTGACTACTTACTGTTTCACAATGATCAGACATTTTAAAAGAAGTAGCCTACTTTACACACTTTATTTTATATACTTCTTTAGCATCTGACAGTTCAGCACACCTACATAGGGGGCTATTTTAATGGTGATCACATTTGTGTTTTCTCACTGAACACTCAGCCATGTAATAACGTTTATACAAAAGTCAACCACACACACAAACACAGGGGTGGTTAACTAGATTAAGTGGAGACATCTCTTTTAAATGGGGTTATTGTTGGAGTCTTACTTTGCCCTGTTCAGTCCACATGACTGGACAGTGATGGATCTTCACATCAGCCACTATCACAGGGCTGACCTTTCTCTGACTGGCTTAGAGGAGGATGTGCTGAATACAGTCTGCTGAAGTTTTACTGTTGCCATTTCAAGTGTGCTGGCAAGACTCCAAGCCAAGACAGTCCCTTAACAGTGAACAATAAAATCCAATCAGGAGTTTACATCGTGGGGTGTTGGCTGAGAATGTCCAGGACACTGACTGAGGCTGGTTGAAATCCGGGCTTCTCTACTATAGCGGTCTGCTGTAACGTTACTCTCCAGCATTTCTCTCAACTCTGCCTTTTATGGACACGCTACGATAACGAGGCTTAAAAGGCTCCCGCCGTAATTCCGCTTGAAAACCCAGTAGAAAATATGTGACTATTAGTTCATGGACAAACTAATATATCTCCCGTTAGTTTCCACATGAAAGGCAAGCTCAGTTATGTCAACTTTTAAAATCGTTTCACCTTATTTCCACCACCTACCAATATAAGTAGAGGACACAAGGTGCTGCTAGACACCGTGATAAAAGTGGAGGTGTTATCACAGTGATATCCAGTAGTGTTAATGATGTGGACAAATTCTATGGCAGTCTGAACAATGAATTGAGACTAACGATATAGACAAAAAGGTCTCGCATGTCATGTTTGCCTCGAAGCTTTGCTTGATAAGCAAACGCGGTATTTAAAAAAGGAATTCGGAGTCAACAGGCCGCCTTCTTCAAATGACAGATAATTACTCTGAGAAAAGTTTGAGTGCTATCAGCTCAAAACATTCCGCTTAGGCCAAAATCTGCTGTACTGCATGACACATTCAAACCCTTCATGAGTGTTTAGCGACGGAGCTTCCATGTTTCAACACGCAACTGGTAGATGATAAAAGAAGTTTTACAGCGGTTTCGCTCTTTCTTTACCTTCTTCTTCGGCGTCTCCGCTGGCGCTTTCCAGTGTGCCGTTCAGCAACAGAAAAGAAAGAAAAAGCAGTAAACGCGCATATTTTGCCGGTGACAGTTGGGCATTTTTCTGCCTGTGTTTACTGTACATCCCTGTGACCCTCGGTAACGCCGACCGTCCTCCCTTATCTCACCGTTGTTCGCCTCTGCCTCCCTTCTGCCTCCTCCGAGCGTCAAACATGGAAGAATAAAAACAGCACTTCCTGTCTGGACCATCAAAATAAAAACGGGTGAACGCAACTTTTCAAAGTAGGAGATGTAATAAGATTATTTCTTAATCGAGAATTGACGTTTAAAACTATAATAAGATACCTGTGTTTGTGTGAATCCTGAGCTGCTTACACGCTGGTTTTTAATTGGCTGCCATAATTCCAAGGCAAGGCAACTTTATTTATATAGCACGTTTTCATGCACAAAGTCAGTTGAAAGTGCTTAAACAATGCACGCAAATAAATAAAACATTAAAATGCATATGTAGATAAAACAGAATGCAAATTAAAACATACATGCTAAGAAAAAGTAGCAAATCTTTGGGTTAAAGAAAGAAAAATAAATGCAAAAAGTGCAAATGGGTGGAATTAAAATGCATGACTTAAAAACTGTGCAAAAAGAACAGTCCTTATCTCAGTTTTAAAAGTGGCAAACCGAAGTTCTTATGGGAGCTGGTTCCAACTGTGAGTAGCATAATGGCTAAAAGCACTTTCACACAGTTTGACCTCTGGGCACCAGTAGCTGATTAGTCCCTGCAGATCTGAGACACCTACCAGGCTTGTACTCCGCAAACATATTTCTGATGTATTTTGGGCAGAGACCAATTTCAAACAGGATGGTACAAGCACACACATCTCTTCTTTGCATTAAATATTTAGATATATGGGATAAAATAAAACCTTTTTCAAAATTCTGAAAAAAGGTAGGCAATGCCTAATGCCTATTGGCAAATTTGATGTCAGACTTCTTCATGGCTACAATTGCAATGCAATTTAAATGTAGAGATGTGTTATTTTACACACAATAGATTTATATTGTACTATAGCTTATATCCTGGTTGACTCAGTGGGAATGTAGTTAAGGCTCATGAGATTTTCATGCAGGACATGTTGGGTTTAATAATTACTGTAGCTATGGTTTATCATTTTTTATTTCTCAGTGTTAGGTTTCATTGTCCAACAAGTTCCTGAATGTAAAGCTGCTCACCAGTAAACTCTCCAGCTCAGATATCTTCTTGGGATAAAACGCCCTGATATTTACAGTACATTTAACAGAAACGTGGACTAAATTTCAGTCCAGAAAGGACACCCTGTAGGCAAAAGCAAAATTATACACACAAGCTTGTTTCTATTCAAGGCACAAAGTGAAGCATTTGTGTGTACACAAGATGAATGTGGAGCTTAACAGCCTCCACTTTAATTTCCTCTTTGTTCTTTGTGTACTTACACTGTCCTTGCTTATAAACTCACTGCAAAGCCAGAGAGAGTAAACACCTGCTTCTTGGCCTATTTATCAGACAGCTAATCCGCCTGTTCACATGCAGCTGTCACGCCCTCTGCCTGTTGCCTGCCTCAGCTGGTCCTCTGCCAAAGAAACTACTTGGTACCAACAATACAATGTGATTTGTGAATTGTGATATTTAAATGCATAATTGTCTTTTTAGCTACTGCTTTGTTTAATGTAGCCTATAAAGATTTCACGAAGCCTTATAAAAAGAGTTATTTAAGATTTAGACTTTTATTTTGAAGTCAAAATTAGCTCTCATCCGGTCATATTTTGACTGTGTTTAACTTGTCGCCACTTGGTGCTCAACAAAGTAAGGCAAAGATTTTATTAATGCTGCTCTGCCGTTTTCTTGTAAAAGAATTCGGAGGATGCAGAAAACTCTGACAGCCATGTTCTATTTAGTCACAAATAACAGCCTAATAAATCTACTTGAATGGTTAGTGTTAGCTATGAAATTTACTTTGCTTCCTGTTTCTGCATAAAAATTAACTGATCACATAAACGAGAAAGTGATGATCAATCAGAGGACTAAAGGATTAAAGCACTCTTTTTTGAAACTGTTTATTAACTACATGACTGGTTTTTAATATGTGTTTGTATAGGCTGTGTAAAGGCCTGACGGTGGTTATAACTGTTATACAGTTGCAATGAGAAATATTCAACCTCCTCACCTCAGAAGACATTATAGTGATGTTGATGAAAGATAGTGACAATAAATGACAAAAAACCTCATTAAACAACAAAAAATGTTTACTGACACATATTTGAGTTACTTTGACAACAGAAGTTGACTTAACTAACTTTGAAGTTCAAATGAAAAATGCAACCTTTAACACATGTGCATGTGCAGTATTATTCAACCCCCCAGCTTCCGTACTTTGTTAGAAGTTATAAAAGCTAAAGGATGCTCCACAAATGTTTTTGGTAAGTGCTGACAAGCTTCTTACAACTCTCAATCAGAATCTTCGCCCATTCTTCACGTGCAAAAGTCTCTAGCTCAGTGATGTTTGATGGCTTCCATGCTGCAACTGCCTTCTTCATATCCCACCAGCAACTGTAGGTGGTTTAAAACTTCTTGGCATAGGAACAGTCCAGCATTTTAGGAAATACTGCTTCCCTTCCTTATGGTGAAATGAAAAAATTGATCAATGTAAATCTAAAGTTGTCAATATGTGGTTTAAGGAGACGTTCGAGGCTGGAATCATCTTCAGAATCCAAAAACCTGTAACATGCGACCCCAAAATAGCAAATAGCCAAATTGCCACAAGAAGCTGTAAGTTAGCAGCAGCACAAAAGCAGTTGATTTCCAAAAGAAGTTGCATGCTGAAGACCCTGTGATCAAAGCTCAGTAGCAAGATGTGTTACCTGGTTTAAAAAGATGGTGGGATGTCAGAAACATGGCACTGCCTCCCCCTGGTGTATGAATTACTGTTTATGAATTAGCATAAAGTTAGGACACTGAGACAGGATGAATAACACACCACGTGCATTTCTATTTAGGTTTTTTTTTTTGCCATTTACTCACAATCTAAGATCCTATTGAATATTTAGATTATTGTATAAAAGAAACTTTATCAGGACTGTGTGAAGTAAAGGGAAATAATTTAGACTCTCCAAAGTCATATTTTTTATTTTTGTGCAAACAAAAGATGGATGTGCATAAATAAGGTTTGTTTATTTTGTGCAGATAGATTAAAATAAAGTATTGTGCTCACTCTCACAAGGTAATATTTTGGGAACACAGTAACTTATACAAACAAGATAGCTGCACTTATGTGAACAAAATAATGACTTAATTAACAAGGTAATAACTTGTGTGAAGCAGATATGATCTTGTGCAAACAAACTAAGTTTTTTCACACAAAGTAACTCGATGACAGAACAATTACAACTGTGATAAAACATAATGGTTTTAGGACATTTGGGGCTTTGTACCAATTCCCTCTTTGTTGCTTTGGGGTGTCATCCTATTTTTAAATGTTTTTGTCGGTTTATGACACTGAGTTGTACACTTCGCTGTTAGACTCACTTTTCTTTTGCCTGAGTTACTACTAGAGTTAGAGGACATATTCTGTAGCAGTTTAAACACTGAGTTTTACATCTGTAGCAACACTGAATATAAATATTTTGTCCAACCCCAGTTTTATCTTCCTTTCCTTCAGTGGTATTTTTCCCATGTCTCAGCTCCATGCAGAATCAAACAATCTGAGCAGCTTCAGCTCTCACATCAGCTTACTGACTGTACTGCCCTCTGCTCTGCCATATCTGGCCCAGGACAAAATGACATTTGCAGTTTGGTCCAGTTCAGAAGAACTATCTGGATCCTCCAGAAGACACAGGTCACATGCTGGTGAGCTGCTCACTCCATAATGTGTCAATGTCTAAGCACACAGAGCATGCTGGCAAGCGAGGATGAAGCCCCAAGTCACTGTCTATCCATTTCCCTGCTACAGCAGCATGCTGGTGTCATGCTCACTGTCTTTGATTTTGGAATTATGGTAAGGATTTAGACTTAGCTGTCAGGAGGGGGGTGCTGATAAGACGGATTTATTTCATCTCATCTGGAAAATGTCTCCTCTGCCATTTGACCACTTCAGTGACTCTTTATCCTGCCAGCAGGAGACTGGACATTGTGCTTATTCACTGAGCTGTGACAGAAATGGTTTGTTCTGTTGTTGTTGCTCAGCTCTGTTTAGAGGATGTCGTCACTGCCGCTTGTTACATTGAAAGGTCAAAAGCTTAGACCCAGACATGCTTAAATCCATCATCCCATTCACACTGCACAGGGAGAGCAAACCACTGTGTCAACCAAAGACATTAGAGGGGGAAAGATAAGACTTACTTGGCCTTAAAGAGCCATAAGCTGTTCAGAATATACCTTTAGATGTGTGTGCCACCCCTTTACCCACCCTTTCACTATTCTTCACTCTCCACTACAATAAACAGTTTAAACTTAGTATTATCCAAAATACTGTAAATACTTACACAATAGGAAGTTTTTCCTCTCCACTGTCACCAAATGCTTGCTCAAGGGGGATTTGTTAGGTTTTCCACTATAATAATAGTGATAACAGTAAGGTCTAGACCTTACTTTGTAAAGTGTCCAGAGATGACTTTTGTTGTAATTTGGTGCTATACAAATAAAATTTGAATTTGAATTGAATTTTGAATAAAAAGTTATGTGAATTATTGTCCTTAAGTACTACACATCAGGAAAAGAAAGAAGAAACAATACTGCAATTTAAAATAACCTCTCACAGCTAAAGCACATCAGATGAGAGCTCTGCGAGAAATATACTGTTGATTGGTAGTGGGGCCTAAAGGTAGCTGACATCTCTTAATTAAATTTTAATTTTTCCAAGTTTCAAAAGATGGATAACAGGATGGAGGAGTGTAATTGGAGGAGTGTGATTTCCTTTGGACCAATATTCCGCTACAAGCACAAGTTGACATTTCAGGTGGCAGTTCAAGTATTGTGTTTCTAAATTTGTGGGTTTATCAGCATTTTTCACTGACAGCTGCCTGCTACTATGAGAAACAAGACTAAAGATGAAGACCCACTGAAAGTCAACAAATCATGCAACACTCCCTACATACACTATGTAACAGACAGGTGTACGTGTTAGCCTGTTAGCATGTCTTAGCTAGCTTGCTAACTCATTACTTTCTCTGACAGTCTGTATGGCTTTGACCACAATGTGTTTCTTTTCTCTTTATCGTTACAATCCACAAGGTAGGGGTCATACAACACAGGAGTTCCTGAAACTATAACTATTATTCTCTTGTCCCTGGATGTTTTACCATTCACATATTTCTAGACAAGCCACTTCTTCCATTTTCA